GGAAAATATTTGAACTATTACAAAACTTTAACGTAAATTCTAAGTCGAAAAAGGGGCATAATTCTGTCAAAATGCTTGATAGAGTTACCTCCTCCTGTCTACAGGTTGGGGTCATGATGGTGAACAAGTGTGCAAAGTTTCAAAGCCATATGTCAATTGACTTTGAAAATATTTGAACTATTACAAAAACTTTAACGTAAATTCTAAGTCGAAAAAGGGGCATAATTCTGTCAAAATGCTTGATAAGAGTTACCTCCTCCTGTCTACAGATTGGGGTCATGATGGTGAACAAGTGTGTGCAAAGTTTCAAAGCCATATGTCAATGGACTTGGAAAATATTTGAACTATTACAAAAACTTTAACGTAAATTCTAAGTCAAAAAAGGGGCATAATTCTGTTAAAAATGCTTGATAGAGTTACCTCCTCCTGTGTACAGGTTGGGGTCATGATGGTGAACAAGTGTGCAAAGTTTCAAAGCCATATGTCAATGGACTTTGAAAATATTTTAACTATTACAAAAACTTTAAGGTAAATTATAAGTCATAAAAGGGGCATAATTCTGTCAAAATGCTTGATAGAGTTACCTCCTCCTGTCTACAGATTGGGGTCATGATGGTGAACAAGTGTGCAAAGTTTCAAAGCCATATGTCAATGGACTTTGAAAATATTTGAACTATTACAAAAACTTTAACATAAGTGGTTACGCCGACGCCGACGCTCGGGTGACTGCAATAGCTCTACTTATTCTTATCGAATAGTCGAGCTAAAAAGGCACACTATCAACACAAGGGTATTCTTACGTACAAGATTTAGGAGAGCCTAATTCACAATGGGTACTACACTTACTAGCATACCAGAAACTCTTGGAACAAAACAAAAACCTTCAGGCCGACAATTTTAGGATAATGTCTACTGCCATGATAATCAAGTATTACAAGTCTACAGCTGATGCCTGGAAAGTTTTGAAAATCATTCTGCTAGTGATAAAACAATATTGACAAAAGATCAAAGAAAGAAAGGGGCTCAACTTGAAAGACAGCAAATTTAAAACAAGAGGGCCATGATGGCCCTGGGAATCGCTCACCTGTATATAGGCCTTGGGGCAGGGCTAATTTTTAACCCCAGGGGCTTTTTTTTTTACCAACTGGTAGACACCCATTAGAAGATGCTTCGTGATAAATATCTAAGCTCTAGCTCTTTGGGGGTTTTAAAGAACCACCGGGGCAGGGTCAATTTTGATCCCAGAGCTTTTTATTTGAACAATCTTGGTAGACACTCACCAGAAGATGTTTCATGCTTAATATCTAAGCTGTAACTCTTTTGGTTTTTTTAAAAGAAGATTTTTTTTAAGTTTTTACTTTATACATTTTAGGAACCCCCGAGTGGGGCTAATTTTTGACCCCAGGGCTTTTATTTGAACAAACTTGATAGACACTTACTAGAAGATGTTTCATGCAAAATATTTAAGCTCTAGCTCTTCCAAGTTTTATAAAAAGAAGATTTAAGTTTTTACTATAATACATATAAGGAAAATCAATGACCCCCGGGGTGGGCTAATTTTGACCCCAGGGCTTATAGTTGAACAAACTCTGTAGACACTCATCAGACAATGTTTCATGCCAAATATTTTAGCTCTAGCTCTTTCGGTTTTTATAAAAGAAGATCTTTTAAGTTTTTACTATATACATATTAGGAAAATCAACAACCCCATGGGCGGGGCCAATTTTGACTCCAGGGCTTTTATTTGATCAAAACATGATAGACCCTCGCTAGAAGAAGTTTGGATGAAATTGGCTTAGTGGTTTATGAGGAGATGTTGTTTAAAGTTAAAGTTTACGGATGACGGATGTACGAATGGACAACGGATGGATGCAGGACGAAAAGTGATCACAAAAGCTCACCATGTCACTTTGTGACAGCTCGGAAACTCTTGGAACAAAACAAAAACCTTCAGGCCGACAATTTTAGGATAATGTCTACTGCCATGATAATCAAGTATTACAAGTCTACAGCTGATGCCTGGAAAGTTTTGAAAATCATTCTGCTAGTGATAAAACAATATTGACAAAAGATCAAAGAAAGAAAGGGGCTCAACTTGAAAGACAGCAAATTTAAAACAAGAGGGCCATGATGGCCCTGGAATCGCTCACCTGTATATAGGCCCTTGGGGCAGGGCTAATTTTAACCCAGGGGCTTTTTTTTTACCAACTTGGTAGACACCCATTAGAAGATGCTTCGTGATAAATATCTAAGCTCTAGCTCTTTGGGGGTTTTAAAGAACCACCGGGGCAGGGTCAATTTTGATCCCAGAGCTTTTATTTGAACAATCTTGGTAGACACTCACCAGAAGATGTTTCATGCTTAATATCTAAGCTGTAACTCTTTTGGTTTTTTTAAAAGAAGATTTTTTAAGTTTTTACTTTATACATTTTAGGAACCCCCGAGTGGGGCTAATTTTGACCCCAGGGCTTTTATTTGAACAAACTTGATAGACACTTACTAGAAGATGTTTCATGCAAAATATTTAAGCTCTAGCTCTTCCAGTTTTATAAAAGAAGATTTAAGTTTTTACTATAATACATATAAGGAAAATCAATGACCCCCGGGGTGGGCTAATTTTGACCCCAGGGCTTATAGTTGAACAAACTCTGTAGACACTCATCAGACAATGTTTCATGCCAAATATTTTAGCTCTAGCTCTTTCGGTTTTTATAAAAGAAGATCTTTTAAGTTTTTACTATATACATATTAGGAAAATCAACAACCCCATGGGCGGGGCCAATTTTGACTCCAGGGCTTTTATTTGATCAAAACATGATAGACCCTCGCTAGAAGAAGTTTGGATGAAATTGGCTTAGTGGTTTATGAGGAGATGTTGTTTAAAGTTAAAGTTTACGGATGACGGATGTACGAATGGACAACGGATGGATGCAGGACGAAAAGTGATCACAAAAGCTCACCATGTCACTTTGTGACAGCTGAGCTAAAAACTCTAAAAACACATTTATAGTAAACCGTTGGAATTATGTAAGTCAGTCTTTGTAGGTAAATTATCTAGTATCTTTGCAAGATGTCACAAAACATGACAAGACAAAAAGTCATAAACCATCACTTCACTACTGAGATAGTAAAGCAGACTGACCTCAGGTTTGAGAAAAAGGAAAAAATAGGAACAGAGAAAATAGCAGTTTCAGCAGAAACTATTGTTTTCTTAAAGAAATTGGATATGAATATTTCCAACACATTTATGTAGCACAATAAATCTGTTTCTGGATGGAAACTACAGAAAAATTAATAGTCTTTAGCATACATAGCAACTGCTTAAATTTCAATCAAAACTTGTTTTAAACCATTATATATAAAATTATTTGTCCTAATAGCATCACGCTTCATTTTCAATTATAATTAGCACCTTGGTTGATTTTTCAGCACCAGTATTATAAAACAAATTCAAGAATACTTTCATTTTCATTTGGAAATTGTAAAAGAAAATCACATGAATTTATCAAGTGATGTAACAACAAGCAATTATCATAGTATTGCAAGCAATCCATAAGTCCCCTACCGGTTAGAGCCCCATCAGCATTCTGAAGGGCCATAATGGCCATTCACTAATGTTTAAATTTTTGTCTCTTTTAAGTAAATTTGTTGGAAATGTTCTTTAAAAGTGATCACAGGAAAAAGTTTTTATGAACAGACAGACAGACAGACTGAAGGACACTCTAAAGTTAATATTTGAAACATCCCTGTTACCAAAATATAACATTTTAAAAAGCAAAATTCTGAAAGAGGAGATAACTCTGGAATTAAAGATGCAATTTCATAAAAATTTCAGCTCTTTTTGACTAATCACAAATATTGTTATATTTGCTATGTTTTAAGCCTATTTGTTGCCAAGGCAACCAATATTTTTTCAAAATAGAAAGAACAGATAAGACATGCATAATCTCAAGACTGCCATCTACCCACATGTCAAGTTTCATAAAAATATTTCCAGCACTTTTTGAGTTATCACTGGATTCAGTTTATGTGCCATAATAATTTGCCATATTTTCAGTCTATGTGTTGCCATAGCAACCAGAATTTTCAACATAGGAAGAAAAGAAAAAGACGTGTATAATCTCCAGACTGCCATCTACACATATTACAAGTTTCATAAAAATATTTCTATTACTTTTTGCGTTAACACTGGATCCAGTTTATGTGTAAAAATTGCCATATTTTCAGTCTATTTGTTGCCATAGCAACCAGAATTTTCAACATAGGAAGAAAAGAAAAAGACGTGCATAATCTCCATACTGCCATCTATCCATATATCAAGTTTCATAAAAATATTTCCAGTACTTTTTGCGTTATCACTGGATCCAGTTTATGTGTAAAATTTGCCATATTTTCAGCCTATTTGTTGCCATAGCAACCAGAATTTTCAACATAGGAAGAAAAGAAAAAGACGTGCATAATCTCCATACAGCCATCTATCCACATAACAAGTTTCATAAAAATATTTTCAGTACTTTTCAAGTTATTGCGGGATCCATTTGTGGACGGACAGACTGACGGACTGACAGACAGAAGGACGGACAGACGGACGGACAGACGGACGGAGGGTAAACCTAAAGTCCCCTCCGGTAAACCGGTAGGGGACTAAAAAGGTTAAGTTGTTAATATAGTTTTAAAGCCAATGGAATCCTGTTCTTAGGACCTTAAGATGCCCACTTGATGTAGCTTTATTAAGTACTTTTCAATTTTAGGAGTTAACAAATAGATTCACATCTTAACACAAATGCTACAATGTATTTTCGAAAAAATCTATAAAATGTTCAAAGACTTAAAAAATATTAAGAATACAGTAACTGTATACAAATAGCAAGACTGGCTTAAAATACTTTTAACATGCCAAATTTCAAACATTATTGTAAAACATCAATTGTAACTTACTGTGTATCAAGTTGACAAAATATGTGTTTATATGTATGTAAGATTATAACTATGTATAAATCTGAATAAGTTATCTGTTTAATTCTTCTGCTTATACAAAAATAGATAATAATAGCCCTTAATACAAAAGTTAAGGGGAAGTAATAAAGTGATTTCAGGTATCTGTCACAAAACATACAAAGTACTAGATGTGAGAAAAATTATACCTGTCTTTAAATCTAATAATTTTAATAAATAAGTGTTTTTCACTTGTGTTTGCACATTTTTAGTGTTTGGCTTAAAAGTGAAAAGTGAGCTTAAAACTGAAATAAATCTAGACTATTAAAGTGACATTATGTTCATTTCTTGTTTACTGTCAAGCTGAGATAAATTAGTTGCATTTTTCAAAAGATTATTTCAATGGTGATTGAACAATAATTGATAACCACAATTGCTTAGGAAAACATACTAAAATTTTAGGAAAACATACTAAAACTGTCTAAAATATATAAGGACAGTTATAAATTGAATAATACTTATACTTTCCGAAGGATATTTAAAGATATTATGTGGGTCACGGGAGTTTTGGGACAAAGGTGACTTTTATTATAAAATTGAAAACAAATGTGACAAAATGTAGTTATCTTAAAATTGATTTTAATTGAACACTCACCATTTACTTGAAGATTGGCATAATGTCACTTTAAATCAGCTAACTAAAAGTAAAAATACATAACCTTGCAGCACACCACTATTTCACGGTGTAACGACTGTACTATCAACTTTCAGAATGCTTCCCTAGGACAACGACAGACTTTGTATACTGCTAGCCAAATTTGAAAATTAATGCAGTCTGACCAGACTCTATACTGTTCGCTGATCTAGTTTAGCACTTTCTTATATAAATTCTTAAAGAGGCTCCACCACTGTTTTTTGACAAAACAGGACTGGAAATATCTTTTTGAGATAGGTGTATCATTTGATGTTTGTGTGAAAAATTTATGATCATTTGCTCACTAAGTTTTCCCTGAATGATAATTTCAAATTTTATTTGCTTTTTTCAAAATGACCCCAAAATGAAGTGTTTTAAACACTTTTAACTCGAATCTGGCTTTAAATCGCGCTAAAATTTATTTTCAATTTAGTCATGAATAATCTCTTTGATACCTTTTGCATGTGAATTTCAAATTTTGTATATTTTAAGCCTTTGAATCACAGTGGAGCTTCTTTATATTCATAACAGATACATGCATATCAAAACAATTCAATTATGACCAGTTATTATATTCTGATAACGGCATGCACTCATCTTTTTGAAGCTTTACATTCATCATCCACAGCAAAGAATTGTCTGTTTCAACCGTTACATCACTGTCTCCATTCCATGTATTTGATGTGCTGATTAATTCCCCAAAACTCATCGCCTGTTTGTCTGTTATTAATTAAAATGAGAGATACAATGTACACTACAAATAACAAAAGTTTCCTTTTTGAATGTACATATTATTAAAATCAGATTCTAAAAATAAAGCAGATTATCAATATTAATACCTTAAAGTTTTTGACTATTTTGAATAAATTTAGAAAAAAGGAAAATGCATGATTTATAGCATAAGTTGTAATTTTCTTTCCTCTGTGGTCGAGGGGTTAGAGTCGATGACTTCTAATCCAGTTACCTCTCTGGCGTGGGTTCGATCCCCGGGAGATGCTTTGGTAGTTTAGCACGGAGGAAGGAAGGTAGTCTAGTACTGGTGTAACTCTCTAGGAACGATGGTTAGGAAACTACCCGCTTATATGACTGAAATACTGTTGGAAAAAGGCGTAAAATGAAACAAACAAACAAACTGAGATAGTTCTCTTATGTCTGGATTTTCATCAATTTAACATTTTTCAACATTTGCCAACATATGATATGCCAACAAAAAAAAGGTATATTTTAGACTTTTTTGAAAAGATGGATATTTTAAACAAGAGGGCCATGATGGCCCTGAGGTCGCTCACCTGTATATAGCCCCCCCTCCCCCCGGGCCAATTTTTACCCAAGGGCTTTTATTTTGTTTATTTGAACAGACTTGGTAGACACCCATAAGAAGATGTTTCAATTGCTAAACATCTAAGTTCTAGCTCATTGGGTTTTTTTAAAAGAAGATTTTTTAAGTTTTTACTATACACATATAGTTAAAAACAATGACACCCCTGGGGCAGGGCCAGTTTTGACCCCAGGCTTTTATTTGAACAAACTTTGTAGATATTTACTTAAAGATGTTTCATGCTTAATATCTAAACTCTAGCTATTTGGGTTTGTTCAAAGAAGATTTTTAAGTTTTTTTGCTATACACATATAAGGAAAATAAATGACCCCCGGGGCGGGGGCCAGTTTTGACCCCAGGGCTTTTATTTGAACATACTTGGTAGATACCCATTAGAACATGTTTCATGCTAAATATCTTAGCTCTAGCTCTTTGGGTTCTTTAAAAGAAGATTTTTTAAGTTTTTACTATATGCATATAGGGAAAATCAATGACCCCCTGGGGCGGGGCCAATTTTGACCCCAGGGCTTTTATTTGAACAAACTTGGTAGACATTTACTAGAAGATGTTTCATGCCAAATATCTAAGCTCTAGCTCTTACGGTTCTTTAAAAGAAGATTTTTTAAGTTTTTACTATATGCATATAGGGAAAACCAATGACCCCCCGGGGCAGACTTCCCGAAAGTTAAAAAAAACTGTCAGACATTCGGTCTGACAAACCATGAAAATCTGTCGGACTGAAACGAAATCTGTCAGACCAAATAAAACTGATCAAAATCAAAGAAAAACTTGTGTTTGTATTTCTAAGACTCTTTTTGTTTTTAATTTTTTCGCCGTAAAAATGGGCACATTCCGTACAGTGCATTTTCATCTCCTCCCTATCATACACCAACGATTCATGGTTCTGCTTCCATTTTTCATTAAATTTTGTCTCAGGTCTATTCTTTTCATCCTTTTGCTGTTCTTCGCGTTCCTCTGACTTAGATTTTCGTTTTTTCCCAGGTTTGGCAGCTTTAGCCATTTTGTATACATGCGGTTTGGATAAAAGCCGGACATTCGGACCGATCCGGAATAAAAGATTGTCGGACCTGATCAAAATTTATCGGACATGTCCGTCGGACCGACGTATTTCGGGAAGTATGCCGGGGCGGGGCCAATTTTGACCCCAGGGCTTTTATTTGAACAAACTTGGTAGACACTCACTAGAAGATGTTTCATGCTAAATATCTTAGCTCTAGCTCTTTGAATTCTTTAAAAGAAGATTTTTTAAGATTTTACTATATGCATATAGGGAAAATCTATGACCCCCTGGGACAGGGCCAATTTTGACCTCAGGGCTTTTATTTGAACAAACTTGGTAGACACTCATTAGAAGATGTTTTCATGCTAAATATCTTAGCTCTAGCTCTTTGGGTTCTTTAAAAGAAGATTTTTAAGTTTTTACTATATGCATATAGGGAAAATCAATGACCCCCTGGGGCGGGGCCAATTTTGACCCCAGGGCTTTTATTTGAACAAACTTGGTAGACATTCACTAGAAGATATTTCATGCCAAATATCTAAGCTCTAGCTCTTACAGTTCTTTAAAAGAAGATTTTTTAAGTTTTTACTATATGCATATAGGGAAAATCAATGACCCCCCGCGGCGGGGCCAGTTTTGACCCCAGGGCTTTTATTTGAACAAACTTGGTAGACACTCACTAGAAGATGTTTCATGCCAAATGTCTTAGCTCTAACTCTTTTGGTTCTTTAAAAGAAGATTTTTTAAGTTTTAACTATATGCATATAGGGAAAATCAATGACCCCCCGGGGCGGGGCCAATTTTGACCCCAGGGCTTTTATTTGAACAAACTTGGTAGACACCTATTAGAACATGTTTGATGCTCAATATCTTAGCCATAGCTCTTTGAGTTCCTTAAAAGAAGATTTTTTAAGTTTTTACTATATGCATATAGGGAAAATCAATGACCCCCGGGGCGGGGCCAATTTTGACCCCAGGGCTTTTATTTGAACAAACTTGGTAGACACCCATTAGAACATGTTTCATGCTAAATATCTTAGCTCTAGCTCTTTGGGTTCTTTAAAAGAAGATTTTTTAAGTTTTTACTATATACATATAGGGAAAATCAATGACCCCCTGGGGCGGGGCCAATTTTGACCCCAGGGCTTTTATTTGAAAAAACTTGGTAGACACTGATTAGAAGATGTTTCATGCCAAATATCTAAGCTCTAGCTCTTAGGGTTGTTTAAAAGAAGATATTTAAAGATTTTTCTTTCGGTTGCCATGGCAACCAGAGTTCTGCATGGAATTAAATTCTTAGAACAATTTTTAAAGGTGACCACCAAAGGAACATTCCCGTGAAGTTTGGATGAAATTGGCTCAGTGGTTTATGAGGAGATGTCATTTAAAGCAAAAGTTTACGGACGGACGGACGACGGACTGACGACGGACGGACGGACGCCGGACGAAAAGCGATCACAAAAGCTCACCCTGTCACTTTGTGACAGGTGAGCTAAAAAAACTTTAACAAGTTTTCCAGTAAAAGTTACTTGTTCTTTGCAATGTACAAAGATTATATTATAATACCTAGATTCCACTTGAGTCCTGTAGTTGATATACAGTTACATTTACCAGCTATTGGTACCAAACCACAACTATCACCTTCATACCCAGAATTCACCTTCAATCTGTGGCATCCCTGAAACATACACAATAATTATGTATTGTTCATAACTATCTTGCATTTCATCACCTTCGTAATTCTCATTGTAGTAATCACAATACTGATCATTACTAGAATCTTTTAGATTATGAATACGACCATCCAACAAATCTAAACGATTTACTAAAAAATTTTGATCATTTTTAATTGATCTTAGTAAATCCATCATACACTCCTGATTATAATTTATCTCTATCATTTTCCGTGATTTTTCATTTGAACTCTCGCACTCGGGTTCATTACTTTGTTTTTTTGGACGAGTTTTCCCATTTTGGCTCGACTTTCCTTTTTCTTCATTTTTTGTTCTTTTGTCTTTATCTCTTTTTGCATGTCTTGCGACAAAGTCGCCAATTTTTTTTTTTATATCACAATCTAATTAAAAAAACTGAAGTAGTAATACCCCACCACCCTACGGGCGGTGCACAATTTGGTTATAAAAATTTTTTTCCCAATTGTAACTCGTAAAATTACGCCACACGTAATAGAAAAAACCTTCTATAAACTTATTACAAAGTAAACAATACGCTACGCGCATTGAAAAATCTAAATTATAGCATCTAATTGCACTTCGCACAACTACAAAAAATGTGTTATCGCCGAGGCGAACGGAAGCACACTGATGGGCATGCGCTGCGGATGTTATCTCATTTTAGACGAAAATTTATTTGTTTGAACGAAATAAAATTATTGTGCCAACTTGCTTAATGAATCTCGCCAGCATTGAATTTGGAACTGGCCATTTGATAAAGGGATTACAATATAAAAATACAACATTCAGCTACCAACAGTAAAGAGCTTGGTTAGACTAAACAAATATGCAGGCCAGTCTGGCACTCAACTAGTGACAAAAGCTAATTACTTTTGATTTCAGAAGGTTAAGGATAAATGATAGCCATATGATCTGTTGACAAAACTTGATAACAACGAAATATTTCTATTTGGACAATAATATTCTTGTACATTTATATATTCAGGAAGTTTCCAAAACCTAAAAAAATGAAAAATAAGTTTTTAATATGCAAAAAAGTAATTACAAAAATTCACTTCAGAATATTCAATTAAATGTAAATCTACACAGAATTGTTGTTTCTTTTAGATTCTTACGTGCACTTATGAATGCCGAGGGAACAAGAATTACATTAACTAGACCTTAATTCAATTTAAAAATCTGGAAAGTTGGCCATCATCACATTAATATCTAATTTAAACAAGATATGTTTGTAAAACATGTATGCCCCCTATCTGCAGCCAATTAGTCATGTGATAAGGTTATTATGCATGACTTCTGACCCAGTGATCAAACAATTAATAAGGGTTATCAAGTATCTACTGGTCATGACCTTAACCTTTGACCCCTTGACCCAAAACTCAATAGGGGTCATCTGCTGGTCACGACCAATCATCATACAAAGTTTGAAGTTCCTAGGCCTAAGCGATTTTAGTTAATTGATCAGAAACCGTTTTTACCTACAAGGTAAATGTGACCTTGACCTTTGACCCCTTGGCCCAAAATCAATAGGTCATCTGCTGGTCATGACCAATCACCATACCAAGTTTGAAGCTCCTAGGCCTAAGGGTTCTTTAGTTATTGATCGGAAACCGTTTTAACATACAAGGTCAATGTGACCTTGACCTTTGACCCCAAAATCAATAGGGGTCATCTGCTGGTCATGACCAATCACCATACCAAGTTTGAAGTTCCTAGGCCGAAGCGTTCTTTAGTTATTGATCAGAAACCGTTTTTACTTACAATGTCAATGTGACCTTGACTTTTGACCCCTTGATCCCAAAATCAATAGGGGTAATCTGCTGGTCATGACAAATCACCATACCAAGTTTGAAGTTCCTAGGCCTAAGCGTTCTTAAGTTTTTGATCTGAAACCGTTTTTACTTACAAGGTCAATGTGACCTTGACCTTTGACCCCTTGACCCAAAACTCAATAGGGGTCATCTGCTGGTCATGACCAATCATCATACAAAGTTTGAAGTTCCTAGGCCTAAGCGTTTTTAGTTAATTGATCGGAAACCATTTTTACCTACAAGGTCAATGTGACCTTGACCTTTGACCCCTTGACCCCAAAATCAATAGGTCATCTGCTGGTCATGACCAATCACCATACCAAGTTTGAAGTTCCTAAGCCTAAGGGTTCTTAAGTTATTGATTGTAAAGCATTTTTACCTACAAGGTCAATGTGACCTTGCCCATTGACCCCTTAACCCCAATATCAATAGGGGTCATCTGCTGGTCATGACCAATCACCATACCAAGTTTGAAGTCCCTTGGCCTAAGGGTTCTTTAGTTATTGATCGGAAACCGTTTTAACCTAAGAGGTCAATGTGACCTTGACCTTTGACCCCTTGACCCCACAATCAATAGGGGTCATCTACTGATCATGACCAATCACCATATCAAGTTTGAAGTTCCTAGGCCTAAGGGTTCTTTTGTTATTGATCGGAAACCGTTTTTACCTACAAGGTCAATGTGACCTTGACCTTTGACCCCTTAACCCCAAAATCAATAGGGGTCATCTGCTGGTCATAACCAATCACCATACCAAGTTTGAAGTTCCTAGGCCTAAGGGTTCTTTTGTTATTGGTCAGAAACCGTTTTTACCCAAGAGGTCAATGTGACCTTGACCTTTGACCCCAAAATCAATAGGGGTCATCTACTGATCATGACCAATCACCATACCAAGTTTGAAGTTCCTAGGCCTTAAAGTTCTTTAGTTATTGATCAGAAACCGTTTTTGCTTACAAGGTCAATGTGACCTTGACCTTTGACCCCTTGACCCCAAAATCAATAGGGGTCATCTACTGATCATGACCAATCACCATACCAAGTTTGAAGTTCCTAGGCCTTAAGGTTCTTTAGTTATTGATCGGAAACCGTTTTTGCTTACAAGGTCAATGTGACCTTGACCTTTGACCCCTTGACCCCAAAATCAATAGGGGTCATCTACTGGTCATGACCAATCACCATACCAAGTTTGAAGTTCCTAGGCCTAAGGGTTCTTTAGTTATCACTGGGAAACCATTTGGTCTACGGACTGACGGACCGACGGACCGACAAGTGCAAAGCAATATACCCCCTTTTCTTCGAAATGGGGGCATAATTAGAACGATTTGTCAGTCATTATAAACAAATGGATATAGCTATAATATACATGTAACACACATATTGTAGGACAACATAAAGCCTGTCTGTAAAGTTTGGTGCTATCAGAAAGAGTATAAATGACAAGTTTGCCAAAAAAATTAGAAAAATCATATTAATAATAATTTCAAGCTATAAATAATTCATCATCTGTAGTAATTTCTGTGTCTATATGTACCTGTAAATTTCTATTATTTACCTGAAGTTATTTCTGTTTCAGCAAAAAAGTAATCAAGAAAGTACTGGTGGTTTTTATAGTATACTCTTTAGATCAAAGAAGTAAGCCACTTTGAATAAGCCAGAGCACAGTTCTGTCACACCAACATTCCTGGACAGGCTGTCCAGCAGTTTATAAGAACTAGATGCCTTCACTTATACAAAGAAACTGCAATCACATCTGTACATGCTAGAGCAGAGGTACAGTATTTATGACCAAAAAGGATTTCATAAATCATCAACCAAGGAAATTTATCTGCACTTTCCAGGAAACAAAAAGAGATCACCCAATGCACAGTTAAACACTCATCCTGTCCGGCTAATTGCATGGTACAATCAAGATAATATTCAAACACTGAATAAATTTACCTTTTGAAGTAAGCAGGTCATAGATTGGCTGCTCAAAAGATAGACTGGTACACTTCCAGCAAGTTGACTGGCTGTAAATAATGTGTTAATATTGGCAAATTGCTGATCCAGTCTACCTCCAAATGCACTTAGTGCAATGACACACTCAATCTGCAATTTTGAAGGAAACAACTTTAAAAAAGTTTATATCTATGGTGCATAGGTTACTTCCATCACATTATAAATTTGCAAAATTTATACCAGAGATCATGTTTTTACAAAAACTTACAATAACATTGCTTAATTAACTCCTATAAGGTCCATTGTAGTGAGGAAAATGCATTGATAACTTTAAATATAAAGCATTATCATAGAAATTCACCATTAATAAACATATTAATTAAAATCATAAACATATCAATTTCATATCAGGCCTAGGGAAATGAGTGCATCTTGCTGGCAAAATTAAATCATGCATGTCTGACCAAGTTTGAATTCTGTCAGGGACTTTCTGTCAGGGACTGTTCTTTCGTGTAAGAAAGCTATCCAATTAGCTTACAAACATTTGGTGGTTCTACTCTGGTGGAGGGTGGGGGGGTGGGGGGGGGGGCACCATAGGAAATCTGAGGACTTCCTCACCAGAAAACTCAAAAGTCCCAATATTATCTTAGTAGTGTCAGAGTGCCAAGATATATTCACCTGGTGCATCTTCCTCCGTTCTAATATAAGTTTTAAACATTTTGTGAAGTCTGTATCATCCTGATCTGGTGTGTTTATTATCTCCACACCCTGAAAATATAAGATACATAAGTCAACATATATATAAACCTTTCAATATTTGTTATTACATACTCAAAATATAGAAGTTTAATGTAGAATTTTAAAGTTCAAAAAGAGCCATACTGCGAATTCACTTAAATTCGTGGGCATGAAAATTCGTGGTTTTATCAAAAAGGGCATTTTCGTGGGTTCTTAAATTCGTGGATTTTCATTTTCTTGTTAAAAAAAAATCAGTAACCTAATGCAAAATAATCTTAAACTTAATCGCCGAACATTTTTACTTACAACATGTACATATCTTTACTTGTCACACAGCGCTTGTCAATAAATTTAATCCTTGCCTCTGGGCATAAATTATATAGCACAGTTACTGCCGATAATTGACTGCAATTAACACATTTATGTGACATGATACGCACCTCCATTGGACACACTGCCCCTGTAATTCGCCAATGTAAACATCGCATAATTTATACGACACCTGACAGGTTTTAACCAGCGAGTTTAAAAGTTTACACCCTGAATTGGTCTTAACATATTTGACAGTAACTACACGCAACGTCACAGCGACTGTGTAAATTTACATGCATATAAATTAATCTCGGTAAATAATACGAGTATATGTGTATCTTGTAAAAGTCGGTGGCGTCTTTGATGTTTACGGAATAGCATTCGCACAAATACAGATTAAAATTCATATAAACTGGATCATTTAAAATGACAAAAGAATGTACAATAAATCTGTTTTAGCGATCGTATTTTTTATATAGTTTTGTGTATTTACGACATTAATATCAAAGACTTTTTTTAATAAATAAGAGCAAACTTTTTATTAGCGCTAATTATTGCACTGCCTGGGTTCCCATATTTACTCGATTATGTCAAGTATTCTTGTTGCTAGTAGACTACAACGATCAAGTACGTATATGCGACATTTGTGACAGTAAATTGAGGACATTATAATCGAGTTATCTTTCAAATTTCTTAAATATTGTAAACGGATTTAATATGTTACTAACCTGATTATCTGTCTGTATATACATCCATTTCACGAAATATCGGCCGGAAAAGAGCCGACGCATGTTTGTAATATATAGAACAAAGACTGGGTAAGTGGTATTTGTTGGGAGAAAAGTTCGTGGGATCTTAAATTCGTGGATTGACCTACCCACGAAAACCACGAAAATTCGTGCCCCACGAATAATAGTGATTTTACAGTAATTCTGTCAAAATCCCTGTCAGACTAGTAATCTAATGATCGCTAGACGCATGGGTTCAAACCCTGTCAGGGGCAAGTCGTTGTTTCCTTGAGCAAGAAACTTAACGCTCATTGCTCAGTACTGGTTGGTTCCAGGAACGGATTCGAAAGTGTGTATATAAGCTTATAGCTTCCTACACAATCATACTAAAATAAATTCTGTATAAACCAAATAGTTCAGCCATGTATACTTGTCATTCAGACAAGTCTGCTTGTCCTGACAAGGTGATGAGTTTTCAGCCCTAGTAAATGTCTGATGCAATAATGTAAGTAAACATTCACCTTATCTTTATAAAACTGTAAGACATCTGCCCTGGCAGAATCAAAGTCACCAGTGATGATATCTGGCACATGTTCCCCTCTTTGTTCTCCCAGTGTATCATACAGCTCATTGGTCCCTCCATCTACACATGCCTTATATACAGCTGTGTTATAAAGACATTGAAATTTGAAACAATATAATATTCCCAAATAATACTTGTCTTAAACTTAGTGTAATGAGTACAATGACTGTACAGGCTCTTACAAAAGAACTTTGTCATTTCAACAAGATTTATACTAAACATGTCTAGTCTACACAATTCTTATTTGAATGACACAACACACTAAAGATGAGTAAAATCAGGCTTGAGAAAAATATAATCATAGTTTAAGAAATAATAAATATTCACAACACCAATTAGTAAAGCTTTGAATGTATCAGAAGAAACGACAACAAAGCTGTTGCTGTCAGAAGTTTGATATTGCAACTAAGCAACCATCTTGTAACATAACAAACAGGGGCAACAATGTTTTGGGTCCACTGTAGCCTTGAACGCAAGGTATATAAAGTAAGTGCAGAAATGTGAGTCATTGATCTGACAAGTTCAATAGGTAAGGAACTGGAAATAATCCACTATCACTGACCCTATTCATTCACCAGTCATCTGTTACTCTCTATATATAGAAACATTGAAACCAAAATTTCAGGAACAAACATCTTACATGATATAATCTTTATACCAAAATTAATACAATAAACATTTTGAACTAGCCTTGAAACAAAAGTGAATAAAAGAAACATACACAAAATTTAGATAGAAATTTTAAGAAATGTACAACTTACCTTTAGACCACAGTTTATGGAAAATTTCAAGTTCTGGTTCAAGGGGCTGATTCAAAATAAGCAAGGCAAACTTTGAGCCTGTAATAACAATTATAATATTAAGTCCACTTTTTCAAGTTACATTTTGCAATTACGGCAAAGTTGCAACAGTTTTTATACTGTTCAAAAATATTTGTATGGAGAAATTGCCACTTGCTTGTGAAAAACAGGAAAAGTTATTTGTTAACTGGCTATCAGTTATTTTAAGTAATCATATCATAATGTATGTATTGTTGTAATGGGCCAGTGGCCAATATCAATAAATAAATTAGCATTGTCACTTTAATGCAATCGTGGCGAACCCTAAGGTGGGTTCAATTGTCTTGTTGAGCAGAAAATAGGGGAAATTTTATGTATGAAACATTAAATAATGTTAATAAGAAATTGTGATATAATACAATATTCTACTCAAACTACAATGTCGCTCACTGTCCCACTATTACTCAGAAAAAAAATCCTTTGACTTACAACTTTAGGAGACAAGTTTTTTTTTCTGAAATAGAGGAAAATATGTAATTTTGGATAGGGGAATGGTCCCCAAAATGGCCGTTAAAAAGTACTGCATGATCCGATCAGGGTCTGCACAGTTCCCTTTTCAGTCAGTAAATATTTTGAAATTTATGCTTATTATAATAATAAACAATTTCGTCATTATTGAAAGATCAGGACAAGGCCATTTTAAATATTTAGCAGTGTAAGTAATAAACAATACAAAAACGTTTACTTACAATTGTCTGATTTTAAGATATGTAGAAGTTCCCATTCCAAGGTTTCCATGATTTGTATTAACAAGGAGGGTCCACAGATTCCTGAAATGTGTAAATTACAAATACAAATAAATAATCTATGAAAGAAACAGATATTGAAACAACCATTATATCACAAGAATAAACTGCACAGTCTTTGTAGAATCTGAGCATTAGTAAAATGGTGCTATAGTAACTTTTCCCTCATGCCTTAAATGATGCACAAAGGAGTTCATCAAGACTTCCTTGAGAAGTCACTACAAGACCATTAACAGTCTTGGTGTGACTTTAAATCCAACATGCTATTTTCTCCCAATTTCTAAAGAAAGGATATTTTACTATTGAACATTAAGTTTAAGTAACAAGACAAGACAAGTGTACTTATTGAATTTCTTGTTGTCACTTACTGTTAAAAGAAAGAACAGCAATATCAATTTTTCATATTAAATGGCTACCTAATGAAATAGGTGATTCAAAACTTCCCTTGATACTGTATGTTTTGGTACAGGTATGATTGAAAATATGTCTTACAAACATTATCAATTTAAAAATACCCACTGATGAACAATTATAAACAAATCCGAATTAATGTGGACAGGTACACGTTTTTTACTTTTGGTTTTCATAAGTTTATAAGTAATGTACAGTTTACTCTGATATCTATAAATTTTACTTAATTCTAAAATGGACTTTTACTTGATATATTGGAAAAAACTTAGTCAACAACTCCCAGCATTAAGTAGCTATTTGTTTACATGTTTTTTTTCTGAACTGAATAACAGTATTCGTTCCGTACTTTCTTACTATATTGTGTTTGAGGTCTTTATTTCGAAGTTCGATGAAAAGGGCTGAGAAGATGCGATTGTATTAGTTGAAGATGATGGGAGCATAAATGGTAGTGAGTGTTTTAGACATGCCCAAAATATCGGCTTGTTTCCAGTTTTCTTTTGTAAAAGGTAAAAATATAAATTATGTACATGCCAGCGGACACAACTCATCAGATAAGACAAGCAGACTACACTTTCCTAACTTATCCTGCTGCATATTCTGCTTGTAAGTAAAAGCCGACCGGTTGTATTATTGAACCTCATCTCTGAATTGGTCATGAATCAGGGATCATTCTAGGGGGCGATTTTGGCGATTTCTCGCAAAAAATCACCAAAATCGCAGAGAAATTTGTGAAATGAGAGAAAATCTCGCACAGCAATTTGAGCCGGAAAATGTCTAATCACAATCTAAAGAATGCTAAAATCACACAAAAATATGATGAAAAATTTACGATTCCCACCAAGAATTTAATTTCAAATTGTTTATTAATGAAATCGGTGTAAAAAACTCCAAAAAGTAGTCCAACACTTTGAATTATTTAGCCTAAATTTAGGCTAAAATAATTGCCGATCGGAAACCCAAATTCACCGTACAGAAATACGGTATGATGGCTTACCTTTATCTATCTGTAAGTCGAGAATTTACACAAAACACTTATAATTGTTTAAAAAAAATTGTTTGACACAGACTAACATAAAAATGGACATGTCAAAAAACAAATACTGGTAAAATTTATCTTCTAAATGTCACATCAACCACGGTAAATTTTGCCGTAAAGAACAAATTTAAAAATTTTGTTTTACGATTCCTGATGAAATAGCTGATAATAAATATTCTTTTATTGAACAAAAATATTTAATCTTATATAATTGCAATCAGCAACAGATAGAATTGTGAATGTTTCAGCGGAAAACAGACAAATATTCATTTGTCACATATTTTCGCGATGTCATGATTAAAACAAGAGGGCCATGATGGCCCAAAGTCGCTCACCTGTATATAGGCCCCCCGGAGCCGGGCCAGTTTAAACCCCAGGGCTTTTATTTGAACAAACTTGGTTGACACCCATTAGAAGATGTTTCATGCTAAACATCTAAGGTCTAGCTTATTGGGTTTTCTAAAAGAAGATTTTTCATGTCTATATATATATATATATATATATATATATGTATGTATATATATAATATGTATATATCTAAAAAAAAAGTCGAGCTAATGAATGACCCCCGGGGCGGGGCCAATTTTGACCCCAGGGCTCTTATTTGAACGAACATGGTAGACATCCATTAGAACATGTTTCATGCTAAATATCTTAGCTCTAGCTCTTTGGGTTCTTTCAAAGAAATTTTTTTAAGTTTTTACTATATGCATATAGGGAAAATCAATGACCCCCTGGGGCGGGGCCAATTTTGACCCCAGGGCTTTTATTTGAACAAACTTGGTAGACACCCATTAGAAGATGTTTCATGCTAAATATCTTAGCTCTAGCTCTTTGGGTTCTTTAAAAGAAGATTTTTTAAGTTTGGTTTTGGATCTATAGATGATACCATAGACCAAATATCAAAGCTCTAGGCCATTTACTTTCAGACCATAAGATTTTTCAAGTTTTCACTATATGTATATAATGAAAATCAATGACCCCCGAGGGCGGGGCCAATTTTGACCCGAGGGCCATTATTTGAACAATCTTGGTAGAAGACTACCACACAATGTTTCATGCCAAATATCTTACCTGTAGCCTTTGCCAATTCAGAGAAGAAGATTTTTTTATGTTTCACTATATACATATTAGAAACCTATGACCCCCCGGGGTTGGGCCAATTTTGACACTAGGGACAAAATTTGTACAACTTTGGTATTGGACCTTCAGATGATACCATAGACCAAATATCAAAGCTCTAGGCCATTTACTTTCAGACCAGAAGATTTTTCAAGTTTTCGCTATATGTATGTAATGAAAATCAATGACCCCCCGGGGCGGGACCAATTTTGACCCTAGGGCCATTATTTCAACAATCTTGATAAAGGTCTACTACACAATGTTTCATGCCAAATATCTTATCTGTAGCCTTTGCCAAATCAGAGAAGAAGATTTTTTTAGATTTTACTATATACATATAAGGAAAAACCTATGACCCCCGGGGCGGGGCCAATTTTGACACTAGGGACAAAATTTGAACAACTTTGGTAGAGGACCCATAGATGATACCATATACCAACAAGAGGGCCATGATGGCCCAGAGGTCGCTCACCTGTATATAGGCCCCCCCCCCCCCCAACGTTGCAGAGCCAATTTAACCCAAGGGCTTTTTATTTTGCACAAACTTGGTAGACACCCATAAGAAGATGTTTCATGTTAAACATTTAAGCTCTAGTTCATTGGGCTTTTTAAAAGAAGATTTTTTTTAAGTTTTTACTATACACATATAGTTAAAAACAATGACACCCCTAGGGCCGGGCCAGTTTTGACCCCAGGGCTTTTATTTGAACAAACTTGGTAGACACTTACTAGAAGATGTTTCATGCTTAATATCTAAACCTTAGCTATTTGGGGTTTTTCAAAAGAAGATTTAAAGTTTTTGCTAAACACATATAAAGAAAATCAATGACCCCGGGGCGGAGCCAATTTTGACCCCTGGGCTTGTATTTGAAACAAACTTGGTAGACACCTATTTAGAACATGTTTGATGCTCAATATCTTAGCCATAGCTCTTTGAGTTCTTTAAAAGAAGATTTTTTAAGTTTTTTACTATATGCATATAGGGAAAATCAATGACCCCCCGGGGCGGGGCCAATTTTCACCCCAGGGCTTTTATTTGAACAAACTTGGTAGACACCCATTAGAACATGTTTCATGCTAAATATCTTAGCTCTAGCTTCTTTGGGGTTTTTAAAAGAAGATTTTTTAAGTTTTTACTATAATGCATATAGGGGAAAAATCAATGACCCCCCGGGGCGGGCCAATTTTGACCCCAGGGCTTTTATTTGAAACAAACTTGGTAGACACACACTAGAAGATGTTTCATGCCAAATATCTAAGCTCTAGCTCTTTGAGTTCTTTAAGAGAAGATTTTTTTAAGTTTTTACAATATGCATATAGGGAAAATCAATGACCCCCGGGGCGGGGCCAATTTTCACCCAAGGGATTTTATTTGAACAAACTTGGTAGACACCCATTAGAACATGTTTCATGCTAAATATCTTAGCTCTAGCTCTTTGGGTTCTTTAAAAGAAGATTTTTTAAGTTTTTACTATATGCATATAGGGAAAATCAATGACCCCCCCCCCGGGGCGGGGCCAATTTTGACCCCAGGGCTTTTATTTGAACAAACTTGGTAGACACTCACTAGAAGATGTTTCATGCCAAATATCTAAGCTCTAGCTCTTTGAGTTCTTTAAAAGAAGATTTTTTAAGTTTTTACTATATGCATATAGGGAAAATCAATGACCCCCGGGGCGGGCCAATTTTCACCCCAGGGCTTTTATTTAAACAAACTTGGTAGACACCCATTAGGACATGTTTCATGCTAAATATCTTAGCTCTAGCTCTTTGGGTTCTTTAAAAGAAGATTTTTTAAGTTTTTACTATATGCATATAGGGAAAATCAATGACCCCCCGGGGCGGGGCCAATTTTGACCCCAGGGCTTTTATTTGAACAAACTTGGTAGACACTCACTAGAAGATGTTTCATGCCAAATATCTAAGCTCTAGCTCTTATGGTTGTTTAAAAGAAGATATTTAAAGTTTTTTCTTTCGGTTGCCATGGCAACCAGAGTTTTGCATGGAATTAAATTCTTTGAACAATTTTTAAAGGTGACCACCAAAGGAACATTCCTGTGAAGTTTGGATGAAATTGGCTTAGTGGTTTATGAGGAGATGTCATTTAAAGTAAAAGTTTACGGACGGACGGACGACCCAATTGGAGTGTCCGAGTTAAAATGTAAGTTATTTCACGGTGATAGGGCGATTACCACAACTTTTCCGCGCAACGTCAAAATATTATCCTTCTGACCGAGACACCGTATATTTCTGGACAAAATATTAATGGCGGGATAAACAAATTCCAGGTAATAGCTTACAAAATATCTTACTGCTGGACATTGCAAGATTATTCCAATTGTTTAAGTATTCCATCGAATTTTTGAGACAATTTATCGTTAATCTAGCACAATACAATTCACAAAAAACACATACTTCGAAGAAATAGTGTTTACAAAAGATCATGTGTACCTCA